GTTTGGTGGGATCCTCAGACTGAAGAAGTCCTTCGGATGAAAGACGAAACGTCTCAGCAACAAAAGAAACCGTCCAGATGACCTGACAGAACATTGTTGGATTTATACCTGGATGCATGAACTTTGGTGTATTAACCTTTATTCATAGACCCTAGCACTGATGCTAACATTAAAATGAACCATTACCAGTACAGTAATCCTAACTCTATTCACATCTTAGCCCTAGACCTACCTCCAACTCAGAAATCATGTTCCACCACATTAGAACTGGGCTTTGGCCCCAACAAGCAGTGATGGCATAATTACATTGAATATGTAACTTTAATCAGATTACTGAGTACTCCTTAAAAAAGTAACTTAGTTACTTTACTGATTGCTTGATTTGGAAAGTAACTAAGATTACAAGTTACTTTATTAGTTATTTTCAGCAGCTGCTGACAACAACTCTGCACCGCCTCAACATAAAAATTACATTGAGCTTTGCCAATACTTTATTGCAAGTGCATTTTAATGGTCACATCAACAATGTATCTCCTGACATATAAAGTTGAACTTAAAAACTATTTCAGGAAAAAATATATATATTAAAAAAGGTATTCTTTTGACTTGATTAAACATAAATACTAGTATAAACATATTATTTCTAAACCGTCCGACCAACTTTTTTTTAACTCTCCCACACTTACTGGTTTTGCATCAAAGTCAAGCTTTTATTGTTTGGTGGTGGGGGACATCCTGTCACAGCTCTCTGCTTTGAACCACCTGGTGGGACTTGCTCCATCAGTTTGACTGTCCCGTGCTGCGATTACAAATGTTTGTGGCGTGGTGTCATAGGTGCTGATAACATGACTGAACTGTCGCATAGACCAGACGTCACTCCCCGAGACACATAGAGGAAATACAATTAAATTAGAAAAAATATGACAAAAATAGTAACATACAGTAATTTGGATAAGTAACTTTAATCTGATTTCTGGATTTGAAAACACTTTACAAAGTATTGAGCATGCATCAGGATACTTTACAAATTAATGTGTTACTGGTATCACTGCCAACAAGATAGGTGATTATACCAGAAAATGTCCTAGAAAAAGATACAAAGCACAGTGACTGATGCGAATAGGCACCAACTCCCCATGACACGGAAACTGAAATTGGATGGATGGATGGATGGATGGATGGATGATGGATGGATGGATGATGGATGTGTTGTTTTTGAGCTCTTTGCTAAACTGAGATGAAAGAGAGATGTTGGATATTAAAGGCAGACATGTTAAATATAACAGTAACTCATCTGCATAGAAGAATTCACTGTGATGTGCTTTACATTTAGACTCTGTAATAATTTTATTCCACTTAAATATTATTATTCCTACCTAATTAACCTGTATTTTCCCCACTAGTCACAGTTAATTAGAAGTTACTGACTAGAAGAAAAAAAGATCTAAAACTGAGCAGTTCCAGAAGAATTGAGCAGTTTGTTGTTGTCTGACATGTCACTGACAGAAAGTGGCTGACTGCAGAGAAACACAAAGGACAAACTGCTTGCATAAAGTCTTTATCCCTTTTTTAATAGCTAAAACCCCACTCTGTGGGTGTTGTAAAACCCTGGGGAGTTCAAAGTTTTTTATTGAGAGTATCGATCTGAAAAAAGTCTTGAAGGTGTTTGTTTGAGCAGACTTTAGTTGGTCAATTTAGAGGTTTGTATTAAAGAAGTAAAAATGCTCAGAGCTGTGTGTGGGCATTAAAAAAAAGTGTACTTTTGATCTGATGCTTGGATCTACTGCTTAAATGTGGATAAAACACATTTTTATAACAAATACAAAAATAATAGAAATGAGAGTTGCAGGTACAAAACAATATAAAGATTAATTGGCTCACACTATGTATAACATTTTTTACTGTTTGGTATAAAATCCTTTATTTGGCAACAGAATCAAAGGTTTTACATTTAAAACATTCATTATGCTAATGCAGAAACATACAGAATACTGAAGCACATACACTGACTGCATTCAAATTTTTGTTATGCCTCTTTGATTTGAAACTTCCCATATTTTGAAAAATCTACGCAAAAATACAAAGTACACCACAACATGAGGCTTAATTGGAATAGTATGCTGTGACTTTTGGTATGAATACATTGTATGGCATTGATGAAATTAGCAAAAAACAAGAAGTGATTTTTTTCATACACAAAAATAGGATTTGGTTAAAACAAATAAAACTCAGTTCTTTTTGGAGCTTTAAACTCAGGTAAATTGGAACAATCATTCAAAGTCTAAACAGAAAATATAATAATCTTGTTGACTTAAAATGACATAACTGGTATTTTGACAGCTTTCAGGGTTTTTTTTTTTTACACAGTCATAACTTTTCCATTTTTTTCTTTCAGATTTTATTTGGTGATGTTCAACTTAAGAATAGGATGATGCCACACATCACACTTGAGTTGTTGCCATTTCCCCAAAAATTTTGCAAGCAAACTCTTTATATTAACACAAGCATTCTATACTTTGTACACAGTTTATACATTAAAATGTTGGCCTGTTTGTTTTCTTTCACCCATGTCTCACGGTTATAGCACACATTACAATGGTTTTGTCTCAACTCCGCCCAGAGTGCAGACTGGGCACAGCCAGTCTCTCATTGACTTTCATTGTATCTGAACTTATAGAAGTTTCTCTTCAAAACCAGAAGAGGGGGTCTTTTGAACGTGTCAGATCTCCTACATAAAACAGTGGGAACTTAAAGCTTGGTGTGTGAAAAACTGATGCTTCTGCCACTTGTGGTTCAGGAATTTGTTTAAACACAACTAACAATTTTCAGACATTGACTGTTTGTGGCCTATAGTCTACTTTTTATTTTTGTCAAACACAGAGCGCTGACAGGGAGTGAGAAACAGGTGTGTAGTTACCATGGTGATAATGAACCACAGGAAACAGCTTTAACAAGACTTTTGAGCTAGTTTTCTTCACAATTTAGAGATAAAGTTGATGTTGAAGATGGTGAGATTCTCCTTGACAAGGACGGATAAGAATTGACATTTGAGTCTGATGGAGTCTGTCGGAAAGCCCATCAGAGGATGCATTTCCTCCGTAAGTTGAGGAGCTTAAATGTTGATTGCATTTTTATGGAAATGTTTTACAGCTGTTTTATTGAATCTTTCTTTACTTTTTCATTTCTTTTCTGGTTTGGGTTGTTGAACTTCAAAAAAAAAAAAAATATGTAATCGCTTACAGGGCGTTATCAAAGAATCCCAAAAAAATTATAGGGATTCAATTGAATGACATCATGGACCTATTTAAGTCCAGATCAGTATTCAAAGCCAAAACTTTTTGGCGGATTCCTCTTCCTTTGAGCAGAAGGCCTACCTAGGTGTAGAACGAACAGATTCAAGAACTTATCTTTTTTTTTTTAAACAAAATATAAATTTAATGCCTTGTTTGCTATTGAATTATTGCAGTCTGACTCTTTTTTCATCTTTTTAGTAATGTTTTTATGCATTTTAATCTTGTTTCGAATATACTTTGTACCTTTTTACCCTGTTTTTATTAATTTTGTCACGTTTAAGGTTTGTATGAATGTGCTGGCTGTCACCATAAATCAGAGGTCTGCAACCTTTATGATCAAAAGAGCCGTTTTACGCCTTCGTTCACTAAATTAAAAGTGATCAGAGCCGCAACAACCTGCTGTGATTATCAACTGGTGGCCCGTGGACCACTTTAGGTTTGTTGGAGGGGGCTTTTGTGGCCATTAGGGGTGATATTATAAAGCTAAAAATATACATAATAATTTAGATTTTTACAATTTAAGACAAGTAAAAAGACCAGATTCTTCTAAGTGGGGGTGGGGGGTGGGGGGTAGTTTTTTTAATTAATAAAACTATAAACTATGCAGACCTATGTTGTTGTTTTTTTTGTGTGGAAAAATTAATATAAAGCATAAAGTTAAAGTGAGTATGTTTTACTCCTTGTACATGTTCCAGCAAAAGAAACGACAGAAAAACAGTTAAACTAGTCCTTTTTTGTTGTTTGTATAACAACCAGTAATATTCAGTTTTATGTTGGTTTTGGTCAAAGCAGTGAAAGAGCCGTATGTGGGTCCAAAGCCGCAGGTTCACACCCCTGACTTTAATGAATTGCCCTTCAGAGACCTAATAAAGTGAAGTGAAGATGAGCTCATCAGAGGTACAGCACAGGTTGAACAACTAATGTTAGAGAGGCCAGACCGAGATGGTTGGGACATGTCCAGAGGAGGGACAGTGGGTATACTGGTAGAAGGATGTTAGAAATGCAGCTGCCAGGAAAAAGACAAAGAGGAGATATATGGATGCAGTTAGAGAGGACATGGAGGTAGTTGGAGTGAGGACAGAGTATGCAGAGGACAGAGTGAGATGGAGGAGGATGGCTCGCTGTGGAGACCTCTGAAGAGGGGAAAGCCAAAAAAAGGTGATGTATGTTAAAAAATTAGGTAATGCCACCATTTAAAATGTATAGAGACATTTTCTAGTTTGTCTTATAATCCCATAGAAAAGTAAGTCCACAACCTTCAAACACCATCACTGCCTCTGCCCTGATAATACTCAGACTTGCTCTTCCTTTGGGCTTGGGGCCATATCGTCATATTGCCACGGACACACGGAGGCGCCAGCACTCTTAAAGCATGGGTCCTGCCTCTGTATTGACTTGGTTCAGTTTGAAACCAGTCGTGAAATCCATTCAGATTGTCCATCTCTCTCTCACACACGCACACACACACACACACACGCCAGCTGCCTGTCAGCCTCAGCCTCTCAGTCAGTGAGTCAGTGGCCCCGCTCCGCTGCGCCTGCGCCTCCACCGCTTCTCTCCAAACCCGAAACGCGCCACCGCCGCCGTCAATGCGGGCATGACACCCTGGCAGCAGTAGTGGGCTCCCCGTCAGCCTGCTTTTAAGAAGATTAGAAAAGGAAAGCTAAGAAGAGTCGTTTCTGTCCGCGCTGTGCGTCGAGAGGAGTGGATGAGCCAATGGCTGGAGCACAGCCGGGAGTTCATGCGCTGCAGCTCAAGCCCGTGTCCGTGCCCGAGTGTTTGAGAAGGGGCAACAAATTTATGAAATGGGACGATGTAAGTGGCTCTGATTCTTTTTCTCCTTCTAGTTCCTATTATTATTATTTTGTGCGTGCGCGTGTTATTTGTTCTGCAGTGACACGAGCACTGACTCGTGCAACAGTGATGAGGCGGATTGATTGAATTTTCCGCGCAGAGCGCATCGACGGACGCGCAGCTCTCACAACGCTGCTGCAGAAACACGCGCTTTGTTTACGTCCAGGCAGTGCAGGGCTTTTGTGAGTGGATGCGCGCGACACCAAGTGCACGTGCGCTCGCGAGTGCTTATGTATGAGAATGTGCCCGTTGTCTAATAAACGGAATGGGCACCTTGAATTCATTCAACTCCTCCATTCGTGCTTGTTACGCAAAAAAATGAGGGAAAAACTCAGTCAGGTTCTTACGCAACTTGTTTGTGTTTTTCTGCAGGTCTTTGTTTATTTCTGTTGTCATCGAGTCTATCTGTGGTGAAGTGATCTTGATTACCTGTTGTGGCCCCCGGAGACTCTGGCAGGAGCAACACAACCCTCTAATAACCCTGCTGAGACTTCAGCTCTTCGCATTCAGATTAAACTGAATGGCCTCTTCAGTTTATTTTCATCTCCCACACTGACTCCGTATCTCTAAGGGACTTTCTGTGATATTTGTTTCACATCTAATTTGAATAACTGCATGCCTTCCTCTGGTTTCTCCTGCCTCCATGTACAGTGGGTGAATGCTTATCACACGGAAATTTGAATATGCACAGCTAGGCGTTTTTAGAAGAGGTTTTACTTCCTTTCCCTTTTTTATTGCCAGGTGCTGAAAGATGTTTTTATTCTCTCTGTCTGTGTTGTGTGCATGAATATTACCTAAATATTTTGTGAACCCTAGATGGATTTTATTGAAACTTTCAGAAAACCGTCAATGGATGCATCTACTACTGATTAACTTTTAGCATCAACCCAATTCAATGATGCCAGAGGCAATTTTAGCCTCTTTTTGAGGGTGCTGAAGCACCCCTAAATTTTAACTCTGCACCCCTAAAATAAAATAAATCATCAATAGGATTTTGCAACTTCTCCTCATCCACCATAACCCTTAGCACAGGCTCTCCTCAGGGCTGTGTGTTGAGCCCCCTCCTGTTCATCCTGCCCACATATGACTGCACACCTACCCATCCAGCCTGTCATATTGTAAAGTTTACAGATGATACAGCGGTGGTTTGATGCATCACAAACAACGATGAGTTCGGCAACAGGCAGGAAGAGAAACACCTGGAGAGCTGGTGCAGGAAGAACAACCTTCACATCAGTAGCTATGTTTACATGGACATAGTAGTCGGATCAAACGGCCGTTCGGAACAAAAACGCGTCATGTAAACACCCTGTTCAAGTTGTTTTTTGTTTATTCAGCATGATCCGAAATCATTTGTGATCAGAACGAAACGGGTGGTTTCCGCTGATTCATAATCCGAATGGTGCGCATGTAAACACTTGATCCGTTCTTTTTTTTCTGATCATGAAAAACTGACCTGACTGCGCATGTGCGACTTTGTCATTTCCGCTTGGCTAATGCTAATAATATTAGCATGTCGGGGAAGCAAAACTGGTCGGTGAGCGACACAACATTTCTACTAGAAACTTTGAAAGAGCTCAAAATGATCTGTATCACCTGTAGCTCAGTCAGGGAGTGCAGCAACGTCTCCACCGTCATTAAAACCTGTCACGGGTCCATTTTGGGTGCTCAGGTTTGTTTACATTCATCCCGGAAGTAAACCGGAAGTAGAACTTATTTTTCAGTGTTTTTTTTAAGGAGAGTTTACCACTCTGCACATGTCAGTACTGCTGTTCAGAACAAAGCCCGCTGCATGTAAACGCTCGTCATGAACAGATTGTGCCCATGTAAACAATACATTTGAATTATTTAATCTGAAAACATTTCAATCCGGTCAAAGAATTTTGTGCATGCAAACATAGCTAATGTGAAGAAGACAAAGGAGATGATCGTGGATTTCAGAAGGAGCCCCCCCCCCCACCGAGCCCCCCCCCCCCCCCCCCCCCCCACACACACACACACACACATGAACATAGGAGGATCTTCCAGTTACAAGTACTTGGGTGTTGCATTACAAATGCTTCTGATGCCAATGGCCACCGCATTGTTCAAACCAAGAGCCATTGTCAACACTGGGGGCTAAGCACCCCTAAGGGTCAGATTCTAGAATCACCCCTGATGATTGCCACAGCTAATCAACATAAGCTAAAACTAGAATAGCTATAATTTAGTTTATAAATACTGAGCTAACATTTAATGGTAGTAAAAGAGTACTGCCACATCTTGTGATATTGTGCCTTACGTTGTTCTTGAAGTTTGACCAAAATGGCTACAACTTTGTAATTTCTGTTAGGATCATTTAATATTATCCTTGTAGCTCATTAAATAAATATGCCACACAGGATTGGTAGATATTTTTCTTAATCCCAGATTTAATCTTGCAAGATGGAATAGAGATTGAAACACAAGCAGGTAAGATTTTTACGACACTTCGTCTCCAAGTCTGTTCAAAGAGAGCGTGAAGAAATGTTTTTTTTTATAATGTTATCAGATAAGGGCAAGGTCAGACGACTCTTGCAGCCTCCTTGCTTATTTGGGTGAAAGGCTCCATGCTTCTGCAGCACTCAGTCCAGTCATAACAACCCTTAACACACACATGGTAATATGAGTTATACAACATTTGACATTAATAAGTGAAAAATATCTGTGACCTTTCACATCTCTATCAATTTCCCAAAATAAAATGATTTTAGGCATTAAATTCAGTCCTACCAAGACATGGTTTTTATGTTAATACGGAGATGTGCCTTTTGTTCTCAGTGCGTGAATATTATTTTGTCTGTTGTTTGAAACTGTGTCCACTAAAATGTGTTGCAGTACTACTTCAGTGCAAGTGGCACATTAAAACATTAATTCATGTAATAACCAGTGGGGAAAATAAAAAAGAAAACGTGTGCAGAGTTCAGGTGAGCCAAGCGCAGCGCAGATGGCGTGAGCGCATGAGTGTGCCAGTGATGTGAGATGTGAGGAAATCATGCACATTGGTAAACCTGCCACTCTGTCAATCATCAGAGAACATGAGTCACTCTTTAACTTGTACTTACTGAGTGTTCATGCTGTAAGAAGTGTCTTTGCGAGAAGGGTCTGTTTTCCCCTCACAGCAGCGATGTTATCTCTAAAACCAAATGGGCCTTTCCTGCGAAAATACAGACGTGCTCACCGATACTTTCTCTGTGACATTTCCTTCCTGTTTCCTCTCTGTATCATCTCATGGAAAGAATCACGGAAGAATACAGAGTCAGACGTGGAGAAGGGGGCTATAATGAATTGTCAGTGGGAAAGGATTACATTAAATCATTTCCTTTTTATCTCAACTGTGGATATGAGCTCCTCGCCAACCTCCGTTCTGATCCACATATGCCTCTTTCATTTCTTTCTTCCCCCTGATATAATTCTTAAATGATTTTCTTCCTGCTGTGTCAGTGGGCACAAAAAGATTTGTTCACTGTGCAGGCATAGCAGAACGTATTTTGATGGATGAACAACAGTCATGATTTCTGTAAAAGCACGGAGTTTGAGACACTGAGGAGAAAACAAAGTGCACATTCTAGCTCACAGTGCTTGTTGTGTTGAAGAATAGACGAGCAATCTGTATACTTTTAGACGTATTTGCACACGACCCAAAGTTCCCCAACATAGAGACACGTGCAAGCATGTAGTGTCCTTGTTGCTGGATAGAAAGCTTCTTCCGCACTTCATGAAATTCAAGGTTCCACGTTAAAATATTGCCTGGATTGTGTCAGTCACTTCAAACCGTATATTTTTCACTAATACCTGCTTCTTCATAAGAGGATGGAGGTTAAGCAGACAGTAAATCCATCTGTAAGAGAGCCTTCGTCTCAAAAATGGCAAAATATAAAATACTCACTCTGTGTAAACAAAGATTTTTATAAGCTTACACTTGGACCATGAATCTTTGGTCCGATGCACACTGAGTAAGATATTATCAGGCTCCACATGGGAGCTTAAAATCATTTTAAAGAAACCAAATATATCATTAGTATCCAGAACAGAAATGTGCTGAGCTCAAATCTACCCGCCAACATTCTCCCTTAGGTGATGGCTAATGGTACAGATGCTTCACTAAAAATAATGGCACGCTTTTGCCTAGGTTTTGTTCCCTCAGGGTGTTTGTACGTCTGCATGTAAGAAACTAATCTCATCTTCAGTTTGACGAAAAACAGGACACAGCCTTCTAATGACATCCCATCAAAGGAAAATCCATTTGAAAGCCAAACGACAATGACTAGCCTTTGATACAGTGCGATCCAATGGCTCCAGTTGGTTTCGGAGTGGGAGAATGTTGTAAAAACTCACCCACATGCAAATACAGTAAATAGTAATCCTGCTATTTTCTCACAGTTTTAATCTGGAATTCTATTCCATAAGTCATTTCTTAAAATTATTATCATTATTATTATTTTTTGCAAATGTTCAGACTCCATGAAAAAAAAAAAAATTGTACTAAGAGTCCATAATGGCTTAATGTGTTTGCTGCAGTGGCTGTGGAGAGTTAAGACATTAAAATAGAAGCTGGTGAAAATGACTGCTCTCACACTATTAGGCAGATTCCCGGAGCTCACAAGTCCCATCATTTACTTATTTATTTTCCAACCAATATCACAAAAATCCATCAAATACCACATGTTATTACCGTCTGAATGCTTGATTTGGTTTAATGGAAATAAGAACAGCTTTATGAGAAGTTGCTGGTTCATTGCCTTGTTTTTATTATTTTATAGTCTAAGAATAAATGATGTGTTTACAGAGTAAATTGAAGTTATATTCATCTGCAAAAACTAAATTGGAGCAGTTTGACAGTATGTGTTAACTGAGTATGAAAGATTTGATATTGCCTGAGAGGGTCTATTCAATAAATGGGCTATTTTATTGCCTACTGCCAAAAGGTGAAGGCAGACAATAATGTTGAATGACTGGCAGATAAACTTGTCTGTCTATTTCTTAAATATCTCATGAGCCACTTGACAAATTAAAATGATAAAAATTAAAAATTGAATATACTTTTATAACTGATTAGCTATGGAGTCAACACAATTCAAGATGGCTGCCATACATGACTAACTTTAAAAACAACAAAGATAGATATATTGGCTCTGTTGGTTTTACATTTACTGACCTAATATTTGGTGTGGTAGTAGCTGAGACTGATCCCAAACAACTATTCTGAGTACCGACAGAATGTACAGGAACTTTGTTTAAAATGTTGGAGTTAACTTTGTCTTTTTGCCAAATATCTCATGAAGCACTTGATGAATTTTAATGAAACCAATTACTTTTTTGGAAGCGACTCAAATCAAGATTTCCGCCACAGCCAACTGACCTTAGAAATTAGAAAAACGGCTAAAATCCAGTCAGTTTTACGAATATTTAGTTTGGTGTAAAAGTTATTTACAACACATATTCCAAATGCTACTCTATGAGCAGTATCTTTCTTAAAATTTTAGCATTAGCTGCTGGAGTCAATCCTGTTTTTCTGTTAGTCTAATATTGCATGAATCACTGGATGGGTTAAACTTAAACTAATTGTAATAGTAATTACTACTACTATTACTAAAAACTAATAATAAAGTTAAACTTACAGCAATTAATCACTGGCTATACATTTTACATACCTTTCTAAGTCAAACAAATTAAAGATGGCCACTACATGCAATCCACATTAGCAAACACAAAAATGGCCACAATTCAGTTAATCCTAGAGATATGGAAATAAAATAACTATAAGTAATAAGTAACCGAGAGTCAATACAACATATACTTTGATACAGATTTTTTGCAAAATCCCATGAGGTCATCACACTGTTATTTTTAGTCTTGACTAAAACGTGGTATAACTTAGACGATCTTAGTTTGAAACGCTGGGAAAATTGGTGGTGAGTGATATGCATTCCTTCAAGGATTGTTATTGTTTTTTGTTAGTGTTTTTATTCACTGGTATTGACTCCATCATTTTGTCATTCAATCAAGCTTATAAAGATTGTGCAGTCATGTGAGCACAACCAAAACGATTCCTTGTGAGCGTCTAATAGATTGCAAGCGACTGGTGGGTTGCCATAGCAAATGTCGCTATAGCAAAAGTCTTGGATGTCTTCAACCATTTCCAACGCTGATCATATCCCTCATTTACTTCCCACTCATTTCCCTTCTTCTTCACCTTCCTCTGATTTTGTTTGAATGGAGCAGATGTGTCCATAAACTGTGACTGTTTAGGGAGGATAACATATTCTGACTGTTCACTGCATCTTAGTGCTTTATAGTCTCACCCTAGTCCACTGCTTTCATGATTTCATACAGTGCAGGTCGCACCCGAACACGTTGCGTGTAGCAGATACAGACCATTAGCTCTCCCTCCAAAAGCTGCGATAGAGCCATCATTAGTAGCCTCCTGAAGACACTTTGAAGATTTGGTTGCTCTGAGCAGCAAATGCGGTTTCCATTTCTCTGATCTCAGAGCCATGGCTGATTGAAGAGGACAATATGCCACAGTTCAGCTGAGCCACTGCCACCATGGATGCAGATAAGAAGGACAAAAAAAGAAAAGGCCTTTTTCTTTTTTTAGAAGCCTCCAATAATATCTGGTGTTGCCATGCACGCCTCAGGGTCAAACTGTGTGCGAGACGTGATGCTGTCTGCATGTTGAAACTGTGGGAAAGCATTTGTTGTTACAAGAAGAGGGGAAATTGGAACATAGGCTACAAAATAACCTGCAGCCGTGAATGCAGCCATCTCAAATACTCTGACGCACACACATGCCTGATTCCTGGTCATTTTATGGCGACTCATCATGTGCGTCATGGTGAAAGGATTTTTACAGTCACCTCAGGTCAATGCATAAAACTATACTTTGATGGTGACAAAACATAGAATATTCTTTTTCATCCCAAAACAAAATGCCATATAGACTAAAACCCACATTGACTTCAAATGTCTTTTTTAATTGCAGGACTCTACCACTGTGACCCCTGTGACCCTAACAGTGGACCCAAAAGGCTACTTCCTGTATTGGACCGACCAGAACAAGGTAAGTCACCACACCAATAACACAGACTTGGAACTTGTACAGCTCAGCGGACAAAAGTCTAACAATATGTCCTTTTAAGAGGCAAGAAAATGGTGTTCTTTATAACATTTTTCCTTTTCTTACATTCAACTCTTTTTTTTGAAATGTTCAAATCCTCTCATTAGTTTTGGAACTATGTGTTGCTTTCTTAGATTTACTGTCAGTCTAAAGGCTTTTTGTGAGCAGTGAAAGATGTAAAAAAAAAAATACAACGAAAAACGGTATGTAATATTTTAACAACCAGATTGACAAAGTGCCAAATACAAAAGAACAGATTGTTGTGTTGGCTTATCAAGTGCAAGTCTGAACTGTTTGTGCATCTCTTTGTCTTCAGCGTGAATCTGAGCAACCGTCAAAAAAGCTACAGAATACACAGAATAAAAACAGCTGGGAGAAAAGTAAAATAAACCTTTGTGTTTTCAAATGCAGTGTAACCGTGCCTCACAATTCAGGTCAGCTGTCAGAAAACTGATTTTCGCTTCGTTACCCTAAGAAGTTCTGCTGCTTTGTGCTTGGAGAGTTGTTATATGGAACTCATCAAAAGTATAATCTGCTGGAAACTATATGATGTTTCATAATTCAACAATCGTCAAACCAGTGGGTGACACATTAACCAAGCTATTGAAATCATCACAATCCACCAAAAATCGTTCCATTGAGCTCAGGTCTGAGCACATTTACCACACATGGGGCCTCATGTACAGAGACTTGTGTGGATTTCCTACTGAAACATGGCGTAAAACGAGAAGACAGTGTACACACAAATAAAGCCAGATGTATGAAACCGTGTGCACGCATGAATTCACGCTTCTTTTGTACATCCCGATCGATGTGAAATTGAGCGCACATACCTGACTCCTTCCTTGCTACACCTCCATTTAAATATGCAAATGGATTCAAACATGCCCTCCACCTGAGGAATCTCCTCTCCGCAGTGTCTTAAAGCATGTCTACATGCGGGGAAAAGAGGATCGTCATGGAATGTGAGTTGGAGATGTTTCTAAATGATGTAGAGGCTTGTAAAATCATTCTGTTTGGCACGTTGTCCTCTGGTATTAGCACCAAGCGCAAGAGGAGTGAGTGGAACAATGTGTGCAAAGCTGTAAATGCTGTGGGGTCAGAGCAGCGCACTCCCACAGAAATGGAAAAAAAAAAGTTCAGACATATTGGGACGATTAAATAAATTTACTTACAGTACCAAATCCCACACTGTTCCAGCTTGTAGTCTGTTCCCAACCATGTTGTTCATTAGAATGAATGAATCGTGCGTTGAGCCAGGCCACCTCGCCACAATGTTGTTTAGTTGCTTTTACGCATCACATTTAATTTGCACATGGACTGAATGGAAATGCTTCCTGCTAACAAACATATTTATCCTGTGATGGTGCTTTTATAGCAATGTGTGTGCAGTCGATAGCTCTGATTAGGAAAACCGGCTGTCGCTGCAAATTGTGCATTAATTTGGCCTATTCAACTGCATGGTAGGGAATATGATATACCTGGTTGACATACGGATAATTCTATCCCACACAGCTGGCATGGCTCGACTCAGGGTCGACTGGCACAGTCCCAATTGGTCTTCCAGCTCCCTCTGGAATGCTCTTGTTGCTAGGAACTTCAATGTGGTCAGCAGCTGTATGTGTACGGGCAAAACATGGCTCCTCGCTATACGGCGCTCCAAGACCAGCCGCAACTCCAAGCACAGTTCCAAAAGGATTGTCCTTGGAAATCTAAAATGGCAAGTCGGTGAATGATGAACAACAGCCAGTCATCATCGTGGACCAGAAAATCCTTTCTGTGTCTAAATACAAGCTCTCCACACATTGCACCATTTGCTATATCCTCTAATAAGGCTAGAGCCATTGTTCTTAAAAATATTTTCTGCACCACTTTGCACATGATTTATATCCACTCATCAAATTTGAGTGGATTTGAGTGGACAGTCAATATATGTTGATGTATTAATTGTTCATCATGTGTGTCCTGTGTGTACAATAATAGTTTTCACATCATCAAAAGTTTCACAGTATCACCTCTAAGTGTTTCCAGTAGACCAATAACCATAGAAATGTACGTACACCAGCCTTGAAGTTGGCTGTGCACTTTTTCACAATTATTTTATGCTTCATACATCTGAAGTTTTGCATAAAAAATGGGTGTAAGCCACGTATCTATGCATGTGTACCCTTTGTACATGGGGACTTTGGGCAGGACGTTACTTGTGCTTCTATACTGGTACTTTCCAGGTACCTCCATTGTGTTCTTGGCACCCCTTAGCCATTCAGTGAGGCATGCTTCTTTCTTGCCGTCCTCACTTCAGTCAATACAAACAGGACTGCTGGAAAAGAGACATAAATCTAAACTTGTGCACCTGCAGAACTTAACTCGACACCTGTGAGAACGCTTTGTGTTGCATTGTGTTGTCCTGCTCCTCTGCTGTGGCCGCGAGATGCACAAGAACATTGGACAGGGTGGAGAAACTTAAGACCACAAGAGCTATCAGATTCTGCAACATTTTCTTGTCAGTTAACCTCATAGATATAATTTGAAGAAGTCATTCCTGTTTGGTCTGATGATGCCAGGAACATGATTTCCTTGTGGAGTTCAGCTTAGGTCTGTGTGTCCAAGACCTCTAAACAGCTCTGTAGGCAAGACGTGTTCCTGTTCTGTTCATGTATACAAGTTTCTCAGCAGCTCTAGGTTGATGTAGACTAATTAATAGCAGCCATTGATTTGATGTTTTCCTGGATGGGATTTCACAGCAGACACAGTGCTGACTGAGACTTAACCTCTGCGCATGAGAACAAACACACGTCTGCGGCTCCTGTTTTCTAACAGGGAAAGGATGCTATTAGGTTACCAGCCTAATGTAAATAATACACTTTATGTGGAAAAGGAGACCGTGTCCACAGGGCAAGTGTGCAGCTCTACTAAACAATTAACAAGATAGGACTTTCCTTTAGAGAAACAAGATGAAAAACATTTGATTTTCCAGAGAAAAAAGAGAAGCTCGGGCTGATTTGCATCAGTTTTTAATTCCTATTGCTTATGAGGCAAAGATTTTAAATTATGAGACTTTTGTACCTTTTTTGTCTGCATGCATGTATGTGTGTGTGTGTTTGTGTGTGTGTGGGTGTGTGTTTATGCATGTGGGTGTCTGCTCCGTCTCCCAGTAGTAAGAACAGTCCTGCCACACACATACAGTAACTCAAATTAATGCCACAGCCAGGACAAAACTCTATTTGGGCATAAAGAAAGACATCATCTAGTTACCCTTTGTGCCTCCGTGTGTATGTGTGTGTGTTTATTTATAGACGTCTTGTCTTATTTTTGCTAACAATTATTCCTAATGGTATTGTACATCTGTTGAACAAACTAACTAAAACCAGCTGCAATGCTCTTGTCCAGTTGTTCTCTGTGTGTGTGAGCCAGCAGGATGGCCCGCAGAGTAAAAGCATTCCTCAGATTCTTCAGAAGCAAAACTGGACTCGGGTTTGCCAACTGTGCTGACTTTCAAACTCTCATTGCCAGAGACTGATGCAGTTATTTCCTGTCTTTTATGTTTCCCTTCTGTATTTAATGAAGTTCTGCAACAAAACCCTTTTTTTTTTTTTACAGTAGAAACTGGTTTTATGATTGAATAGTTGTTGCTTTCTGTTTTAAAAAAAAACCTTTAATGAATACATTGTTAAAAGACATTGATATTGATATAGAGTAAGATAACATTTTTAACAGTAAAGGTGTAGCCATTATTTGGATACACGTCAAGTCAAGTCAACTTTATTTATTTATAGAGCACATTTAAAAATTGTCACGTCATAAATTGGATTACTTTTAAACGACCAAGTCAACCTACAACTATTTGATTTTGCATAAACTTTATATAACTTCAAACACCATTGTAGTTCTGTCACTGTTGGTAACCAAATACATACAGAAATAATACGACACAAAAGCTTTAGGTTGTTAAACCAGTTGAGCTTTTCCATGCACAGATATTGGGGATGTCAGTCTAGCAGCTGGTCATGACATGGATGGAACAGTAAGGGGTACAAAAAGAGCATCTTAAACTAGCGTCACTAATAGACAATGCCTTGGTCTAAAAACACAGTTAAGAGTCCAACATTGTTCAGTCAGGTCATCTGGACAGTTTCTTTTTTTTTTGTGCTGAAATGTTTCGCCTTCGATCCGGAAGGCTTCATCAGTCAAGAAAACACACAACAAAACTGATTCTTCCTCCAACAGCTTACTCCAAAGTGGAACAAACCAGTTCTGCTTGTGATAAGATGGTCTCTTTGGTACGCCCCCTCCTCCATTGCCGGCTCTCTTCCTTGTTGACAGTCTTGTCAAACTGGTTGAAAACAACAAAGTCCATGCTCATTAATCCAGGTATAAAATCCAACATTTTTCAATCAGGTCATCTGGACAGTTTCTTTTTTTGTGCTGAAATGGTTCGCCTTCGATCCAGTTAAGAGTGTCGTCCTAAAATGATTCAGAAAATAAATTGTCACTTTTTATCTTTAAGGTTGGATTAACAGCAAGTTCTGTGAGCTAAAAAAAGCAAGCATTTTCATTTATTAATTTGATTTGAATAAGAATATCTTACAAAAAGATCTGAAGCTCTCGACCTTGACCTCTCTAAGTGGCTTTAAGAATCTGTTGGACTCCTGGCAGGGACCAATGCAGACATGTTCCTGTTTTTAGTTTTCTACATTTGCCTTATAATCTAGCTGTTTTTGTTACTTTTTTAGCCAACGTATTTGTAAAAAAAAAAAAAATCTATATGCCTTTTTATAATTGTCTATTGTCCATTGTTGTCATCATTCTTTGTTGAAATCAGGTCTCTCTTGTAAATGAGTCCGCGGGGCTCAATGGGATTTACCTGTATAAATAAAGGTTGAATGAATATAGTAATTAGGGGAAGGTGGCGCAGGGGTTAGAAAAGACGAGCGTGTGATCAG